GAGCGGGAGGAGCGGCAGCAGCGGGAGGAGCGGCAGTTGCGGGAGGAGGAGCGGCAGGAGCGGGAGGAGTGGCAGCAGCGGGAGGAGCGGCAGCAGCGGGAGGAGCGGCAGCAGCGGGAGGAGCGGGAGGAGCGGCAGCAGCGGGAGGAGCGGCCGCAGCGGGAGGAGCGGCCGCAGCGGCAGGAGCGGGAGGAGCGGCAGGAGCGGGAGGAGAGGGAGGAGAGGCAGCAGCGGCAGCAGCGGGAGGAGCGGCAGCAGCGGCCGGAGCGGCCTCCTTCCCGGTGGGACGTTTCCACTTGCTCTTTCAGTCGAAAGCTGCATTTGAGCGAGAAAGCGACGTCCCCCTGGCAAGCGAGGAATTTGAAGTGACCAAGGCGGCAGGTACGTAAGGTGGTTTGTGGGATGGAGCCCGGGTCAGGCACACAAGTGGTGGCCGCACCCCCACCAGAGGAGCAAGGGCCGGCCCAGCGTCTGCTCGCTGTTTCTGTAAAGGGCTTTGCGGAGGCGACGCCACTGCCGAGACCACTCACCCCGGGTGAGCAGAGCCGCGAGCCACAGGGCACCGACCGGGCACGGCTGCGTCCTAATAAAACTCGATTTTAAGAACACGGAAATGTGAATCACATATCACAAAATACCATTTTCCTTTGATTTCGGCTGACGCTATGTAAACGTAAAAACCAGCCTTAGCTCATGGGACAGGCCAAGCCCTACTTGGGGCATGAAAATCTACTGGGGCCTTTGGGGACGTTCAGTGGGATTGCTGCGCAGGAGGGGACCCCTGCGACCTCCCCACAGCGTGTCCTGGGTTCTGTGACTAGGAACGGCTTCGATGCCTGGGAAGCGGGGTTAGGAACCCCTAAGGTCTGGCGGGGGGGCCCCTGGGTGTCCTGAGCTGTGTTCAGCCCTCAGGGGCAGATGCTGAGCAGAAAGAGGGGAGGGAAGCTCCAGAGTTGGGGCTCTGTGCGTGAGAACATGGGGTGAGCGATGATGACGATGGACACGGGAGTAGAACTGTGTCGTCGGGAGCCCTGAGTGTCCCAAGGGACACAAGACATGAGGAGAAGGATCCTTACGGTTGTGGGGATCACCAGGCATGGGAGTGGCAGGGGGGTGCGGTGAGCGGGGCTTTTGGGAGGAGGGGCCTTGGGTCTGGAAGGAGCCCTGCCCCACCTACCTGCAGGTCCTGGAGGGTGTGGGGGCAGTTCCGGGTAGAGGTCCAGGACAGGAGATGGGGTGGCCAGCAGAACCTTGACCTCCGGGTGCACAGCAGAAGGGCAGGGCTGAGCCACTGGGGATGAGCCGGTGGAGGCCACAGTCCCAGGTCCTGCTTGAAAGGCTCCGTTGGGCCTCAGACAAGTTCACCAGTGCCAGCGGGAGGTGACGCAGCCCACCCCCGACCCCCATCCATCCTTGCTGTGGCAGAAATGACCATGGCTCTTCCCACCCTGAATGTTCCTGAGGCCTCCTGCTGCCCTCAGGACTAGCCCACCAGCCTCTCTCTGCTTTCTTTGGTTCCTCACCCATAAGACTTTCAGGGCTGGGGGCCTTTCCATGTCGAGTTCACTTCCGGGGGCTGTGCCCCTACCCCGCCCAGGACGCAGAGCGTCTGGAGTGGTGGGGACCCGACCACGTGCTTCTCTTGCAGTGTCCCACAGGCCCGGGGCGTTCAAGGCCGAGCTGTCCAAGCTGGTGATTGTGGCCAAGGCATCCCGCAGTGAGCTGTGACCAGGAGCCCCATCGGGGGGCGGCTTTTCCTCGTTTCTGCTGAAGGAGCTGGGCTCTGGGAGAGCTGGCGCATTACTGGTTTTCTAGGGGGGCTGTTGGTTGATGTTCTCTGAACATGGAGCGGGGGTCTGGGACCCTCTGCCCGTCTTTCTTATCAAAAAAGGCACTGGGGAACGTGAAGGGGGTCTCCGCGGGGAATCGCGGCTTTCCTGAAGCCAGTGCGGGTCTCTCCTTGGATCAGGCCAGGCTCTGGATCGCTCCCAGGGACAGCGATCCTGCTGTCCTGAGCCCGAGCCAGCTGTTTTCTTAGTTTTCCCAGGGGACCTTCTTCCAGGCTAACTGGGGAGAAATGAAATGTTCTTTCATATTTAAATAAATAAGATGGTTGGAAAGCAGCCACGGTGGCAACTGGCACTGGTGCCGGCCTGTCTGGGTGCTTGGGGCCGGGAGCCCGGAGGCAGCAGCAGGGTCTGGCCACCCGCACCCGCACCCCCTGCTGGGGATGGCAACGGGTGTCCCCACAGGCCCCTGGAGTCTCCAGGCACGACTCTTCTGAAGGCGCAACGCGCGGGGTCCCAAGGCGGTTGGCTGTGATCCCGGATCTCCCTGAGCTCGTGGGGCAGACCCAGCCCCACCCCACAGGGCACCCCCCATGGGGGGCGGGGAGTGCTGGGGACAGACGTCTCCTGCACCTGGCTGCTTGGCTTTCTCTTTCTGAAGCCAGATTGCGGGTCGCAACTTAAAACAGCAGCAACCACAAACACCCACGGGCAGACGGATAAAACCCCGAAATGCCCCAGCCACTCAGAAGGTCCTGCTCTCCCAGCAGCGGGGCCCTGGAGCCTGACCGCAGCTTGCCCCTCAGCCTGCCCTCCGACCAGGCCTTCTCACAAGCAATCGGGACGGAAAAGAAGCCTTGGGCTGCGAATCGGAATCCTGGCTCATCGGAATCACGGCATGGGATCGACGGAGGGCCCCCTCCCCTTTTCCTCGCCTGGCCGCCTCCTTCATGCCAGCACGAGGACCTGGGCGCGGCCATGACCCCACTTGCCAGAGAAGCAGGTGTGAGGGTTCCTGCCCCAGTTCGCACACCTGTGGGAAGCGGAGTAGGACTCTGCCCTGTAGACGAGCACGGGAGCGTGAAGGACAGCGGTTATCACAGCGTGCGGCAGCGGCCCCCGCAGCCCTGGAGATACTCGGGAGGAAGAATCCCCCCAGCCAATCCCTCACTGTCCAGCTCAAGGGCACATGCATCCACAGGGGGTTCGCCCCACTCAAGAACGGATGTGCTTTGAGATCTGGTGGGTATGGGGACCTCAGGGAGGGTCCGGAGCCTTTGTTGCTCTGGTTTGGGGGTTCAGTGGACGGAAAACCACAGATCGATGGCGGGCTGCCCGGGGCCACCTGCAGAAACAAGGCAGCAGGAAACTGGTGGGCGTGACATGGCCCATGGGATCCCTGCAGGTCCCGTGGGCCTGACCCCGGCAGGAGAGACAGATGAGTCCACGGTCAGCCTGGAATCACTGACCGCTTCCGAATCCTGGGGGCTCATCGAGGTTGCAGAGCCGGTGGTGGCTCCTGTGTCCTGGGACATGGCAGGACATCCGGATGCAAACTAGTCATCCTTGCCCCCACCAGCCATTTGCAGGCATCTTTCTAGATCTTTCTGCTAGACTCAAAAGGGAAGCCACCCTGGCCCTGGGGTCTTTGTTCACTGAGCTAAGCCGAACCCTCCCTTGTTTGGGTGCGCAGAGCCAAGCACTGCAGGCCTGAGCTTCTTCCCTCCCGGGCCCCAGGGAGCGGACCTTGAACCTCTCAGCGAGGACCTCAGGTGTGTGACGTGTGTGATGTTACACGCGAGCTCAGTTTGAAAAGCAGGAGCCCTGGGAGGGCAAGAGAAAGCTGTTAGCAACAGCATTTTACTCGCTAGTCCCACATAATGCAAACAGATGTGTGCTTTTATTGAAACAGTTCTGTAGTGCTCTTTGGTTTTTCTAAATTAAATCTCAAAATTTTACGAAGAGTCAGGATAGGCCGGACAGCCCCCTGGGGCACCAGTCACAAAGCGATGTGCACATGGATGCGTTCAGAGTGCAAAGCCCAGGACAAAGGCTTGCTTTCCGCTGGGGCTTTTCAGGTGCTCAGGACGCACATTTGGTCTCAAACGGAAGATGGGAGGACTGGTTTGCCTTAGTGGGGTGGGGCAGGGGTGGGAAGAGCTGGGTCCCCGGTGGGAGAACCTTGGCTTTCTCCGGGAAGCAGACACCCAACCAGAGAAAGGCTGTGGCGCACCTGGAGAAAGAGTGGCCTGTTAGCCTGGGGAAGGGCGCCAGGGGGAGGTGAAAGGGCGTGGTGGGAACTGGAGGGCCGGAGCGGCGAGGTTGACGCAGCAGCACTGGCGGCCAGTGTGGGCTCAGGTAAGTGTCCGGGAAAAATCCCATGTCTAGATGGTTACGTGCACTTTCCTTAATGCCTGGTGTCTCAAACAACGGATGGGGCCCACCACACCGGTCTTGTCAGGTGTGCAGGCCTCCCGTTTGAAAACTTTGCCCCCCAGACCTCGTCCCCCCTCCCCTGCCCTGCAGGTGCCCCGAACAACCTCCCCAGGCCTGCCAGGGCGCACCTGCTGCCCGCTAGGACGCAGCTACACTCCCACGCCCCTCACCCCCCCGTCCATCTGCACCCTGAGCGGAGCATCACTGCATCCTCTCGGTGTTGCCAAAGCCAAAATCCGTTGAGCATTGCCTTCTGAGGTCTGGTCACAGCTGCCGTTGGTCTGCCAAACATGTGAGATAATCGTCTTCAAGTGGGCATGCGTCACAGATGGCTTTACCCTGGAGCCCCGAGTCAGGAGCATGCTCTGTCCCCTCCCACGTGGGAGTCTGGGCTGCGATTCCAGCCCCATCAAGGCATTCTTGCTGACAGCAGACCCCCTCAACGGTCTCCTGGGCTCCTGGTGCTCCTGGGGCTGCTGGAACCGAGTGCCCCCGGCCCAGCAGTGGCAGCAACAGAAAGGTGTTCCCTCTTGTTCTGGAGGCCAGAAGCCTGCGATCCGGGTGTCGGCTGGGCCGTTCCAGGCAGCTCCCCCCAGTTTCAAAAGTTACCCTTCCTACAAGGACCGGGGGCCCAGCCATATACCAGTGTGACCTCATCTTAACTAATGATATCTGCAATGACCCTATTCCCCAAGAAGGTCCCATTCAAAGGTCCTGGGGGCTACAACTTCAAAGAATCTGGGGAGACGCAACTCACCCTGTAACACTCCCTTTCTTCTGGTTCCCCATGACCCTTCACGTCATTAAGTGGCAAATGCCAACTTCTGGGGCCTCTGGTGGCTGGAGGGGTGGCATGGGTCAGGTCAGGCAGGCCAGGGCAGGCAGCAGTCTTGGGGTGCCCCGGGAGGCGGCAGGCTGGCAGGCTGAGCTCTTCTCCTCCGGAGACGGGGTGGATGGGGAGGCGACAAGAGTCCTTAAAGCCACTGCCTCCCACAGATTAGCATCCTCTCCAAAGGGACGGTTTGGCCGGAACTGGATGGGAGAAAGGAGGTTCTGGCGTCGTCCCGCCCCCGCCCCCACAGGCAACCCAGCTCCGAGGTCATAGGTCATATGCTGCCCTCGTCCAGCATCCTGGTGAGGCCCTCGCAGATGCGGCGCAGGTGCGAGCGGTAGGGCTCGGCGGGGCCGTAGAGCGCCGCCAGGAAGTCGCAGTCGGCCAAGTGGCCGAAGACGTGGTTGATGCGGCCGTGGGACTTGGCGGTCAGGTGCGCGCCCACGGCCTGGTGCAGCAGGTCCCGGCACTCGTGCAGGGCGGCGGCCAGCACGCGCCGGTCGAAGGTGAACTCCACCTGGCGGAAGCTGACGGCGGTCATGGCCGCGCAGCGCGCCCTCTGGCGGAAGCGCTGCAGCAGCGCCAGATCCTCGCCGCCCAGCCTGCCGCCGCGCAGCAGCACGCCCAGCTTCACAGCCACCTTGACCAGGTTCTTGAGCACCTTCTGGGCCTCCTTGCGGCTGCGGGTGAACTCCTTGATGGCGCGGTACAGCTCGTCCAGCACCTCGCTGCTCGTGTCGTCTATGAACACGGCCACCGTGGCCTTGGACGCCATCTTGCTCAGGAGCTTCTTCTGGGCCTGCAGGGCCAGGCTCTTGGTGCTGAAGGCATCCATCGGCCCTGCCAGGAGGAGAGGCACACTGGGCGTCAGTCCCCACGGCCCCTGCCCTTGCAGGACCTTCCCGGCAGGCCCCTTGTGTTTGCTGCCACGCTGTGCTAGTCTGTGAAATGGGCGCATGCCGGGGGCCCAGCCCCAGGGAGCCCCACCCACAAGAGCCTTTGGTTTGGCACACCTGCCCAAGCACCTGCTGGGCCCTGGGGCTGGGTGGGGGTGGAGGCATGTCAGGGACACGTGGCCCGTCCCACCCTCAGGAGCTACAAGATGCCATCACGGGGGCACCCCCGAGAGGCAGGGATGCAGGCAGGCCTCCTGGAGGAGGGAGGGACAGGTGAGAAGGTGGGCAGAGGGACGGCATACTTCACACTCTGCGGCCCAGAGGAGCTAGAGCACAGAGCACAAGAACAGGGCAGGATACCTACACAGAAAAGCCCTTGAAAACAAGCAGTCACACTGAAAAGATGGGGACCCAGAGGACCCTAAAGGGATCTAAGGGAATTCGTTTCTAAAAAGAGAAAGAGGGGCACCTGGGTGGCTCTGTTGGTTAGGTGTCTGCCTTTGGCTTGGGTCATGATCCCAGAGTCCTGGGATCGAGCCCCTGCATACGGCTCCCTACTCTTTGGGGAGTCTGCTTCTTCCTCTGCCACTCCCCCTGCTTGTGCGCTCTCTCTTTCAAATAAATAAAATCTAAAAATAAAGGAAGGAAGGAAGGACGAGAGGGAGGGAGGAGGAGGAAGGAAGGGTAAAGTCAAAAGAGTGAATGCAAAATGGTGAAATCTGGACAGGACATTCTCCAGTCCACCAGACCCACCATATCCTCCCTGTGAGCTGAGGAGAGGCTCAAGGTGAGTTATCACAGGCTGATTCCATCCCTGCCCCCCCAGTCCAGCTTGCCATTCCCCACCCTATCCTGCAGTGCAGTAGGATGGAGGTCCCAGGCCCCAAGCCCTGGGCTGTTTAGGGTGGAGGAGCCCAGTGACTACCAATTCCCCAGGCTTACTGTCCTGGCGTGTTTATAGCAGACAGCCCTGAGGCCCTCCTCCATCGAGAAATGAGTCAGGTGGACAGTAGCCTGGGCTCTGGGGCCCCAGGGGTGAGCAGGCCACGTGTGAGGTTTCTAGAAACACATTGTTCCAGCGACACCTCTGATCTGGACACACTGACTTGAGACCACTTCCGCCCAGGAAAGGGCCAGGACAATGGCCAAGAGGAACGGCAGGCCAGCTCTCAGGGCACAGTGACCAGGCCTCTGACTGCAATCTCTGTCTGTTCCTCACACCTGTCCCCATGGCTGACTTCAGATGCCCCGAGCTCTGAAGCTGCCCTCCAACCACCTCCTTCTGATGGGGCCAGAGTTCTTCCCAACCTGCACATCTGGGCATGACTCTTTCCTTCCGAGGACCAGCCAGCAGCTCCCATGGCTCCCAGGACCGGACCCCACGCCTCATTTAGGTGCCGTAACCTCCCCAGTGAATTCCTATTCATGCCCCCGGAGCCCTGGCTCCCAGGCCCCTGCCTTCTTGAAGTTTCATCCCTCAGCTCAGCTTGGAGGCCATCCCTGAACAACCACACTGATGGTAAGGCACCTCCTCTGGGCCACACAGTGCCCCAGGGACTCCCCCAACACTGCCCTGCCCCACCGCCGGCCTTCACTCCCCGGCTGGCCAGCCTCACCCCAACCTACAGGAGAGGCGAGGGGCCTGCTTCCTTACCCGCTGTGTCTTTGGAGACTCCAGAAAAATGAATGAGGCGAGCTGGAGACCCACCCCCAGCCCTCACCCAGTGTCCCAGGCCCTGATAGAAATGCACTCCCACCCTGGCCCCAGGAGGCCAGACCAGGGAGGCTGCGGGGGTGCCTGCTCAGCCCCCAGAGCCCCCACAAAGCCCGTCTTTGTGTGAGCTCACACCCCGAGAGAAGTCCCACCCCCTGGGCTGCCCCCTCGCCTGCCCTCAGAGGTCATGGTGGGCACAGGGAATGGCAGGACTGCCTTCCCTGCCCCCTACAGCATCTCCAGTGTTTGGGGTTACGCAGGCCTGGGCCAGAGCAGGGGGGCTGCAGACTCAGCACCACGTGGCGGGCCCTGAGCCCACAGCATGTGCCCATTTCATCATTTCCACCAGGCAGTAGGCTGGTTGCCAGTTTGCTAAAGAAATTACACAGGCTCAGAGAGGCTGAGCCACTTCCTTGAGGCCACACAGCTATACAGCAACTGACCGCCTCTGCAGGCCTACTCTTTTCCACCTTCACCACTTGGTGCCCGCAGATCACCTCAAGTTTCAAGGGCCAGGAGCTGTTTCACTGACAAATCTAGCCCCACTATTTAGGACCTGCTCCCAGATCTGACTGCATAGTCAAGCAACATAACTGCCTTGTGCCTCAGTTTCCCCATCTGTAAAATGGGAAAGATTGAACTAACTCTGTCCTAGGGCAGAAGATTGTGGCCAAACCCAATGCCCACCCCAGGCTGTGAGCTTTCCCTGCGCCAGGGGCTGGATGCCCCTAGTTAGAATTCTGCCATTCAGCTTCCTGAAGGCATATCCCACTTATCTGTGAGATTCTCTGGGAAAAGGGCAGCAGCAGCTTCAGGCTGCCGAAGGAGTACCTGTGCCTCCCAGATGCCCTCCCACTGGTTTCTCTAGAATGTTCTATTCAGTTCCCTACACCGGGACCACTCCTCTCCCTGTTACTCATCCTGTAAACCACTCAGTCAAGTCTCAGTGTCAGTCACCTCCTCCTGGAAGCCTCCCATGGCGCCCCACGCATGCTCTCATTTTGGCCTTGCACACCTTGATTTCACGGTTCATCTCCCTGGCCTGACAGTGCAGCCAGGGGCCAGGGCTCCCTTGTTCACACAGTGCTTCCCGTGCTCAGCCCGGGGCCTGGTACACGGCAGGCACCCCATAAGAGTTTACTGAATGCATGAAGGAAAGGACATCCACGAACATCAGAAATGAGAAGGAACCCCCAAGGCCTTGGGTTCAGTCTCCCCAGCTTACTGATGGACAAACAGGCTCAGAGAGGGAAAGGACTTTCCCTGAGTCCAGGGAGGAGGCCCAGGCACCTGGACCCCAAGGGCTCTGGAGCCCAGGCCTTGCTGCCTATCTCGGTCGCTGAGTGACCCTCGGGGGCGGGGTGGAGGGGCTCTGTCCCTCTCTGGTCCAATCTGCACATGCTGGTTGAGCGTGTTGGTTCTGGAGGGGAGTTGGGCCCCGAGCAGGACCTTTCTCCTAAGCCCAGAAGGAAAAGGGGGTGGGCAGAGGCAGCTGCAGTCTCCATCCCGGCCTCCACACTCCTAACCCCTCCAGCCAGCCCCCAGACCTGCTCACACCTGGGCCAGCCCAGCTGCGTGACCCCTTCTCCCTGACCCATTGTTCTGCCAGAAACCCCCGATCCAAGCAGGCAGACAAGGAGATGACTACAATCCCAGGGGAGCAGGCCACGGACGAAAATAAACCCCGGCCTTCCTTCCTTCCTGCACACTCCCCAGGTCTGTGGGCGGGCAAGCCAGGAGGCGGCCAGGCTGAGCCATTTCGGCCCTTCTTGGGGCAACGCCTTCCCAGAAACTGCCGAGGGGCTCCGGGGCCAGATGGTCAGTGTCCCTCGTCCGGCCACCAAGGGCCTGAGCATCCCATTATCGTCAAAGCTAAACAAGCCTCCCAGAGGACAGAGGGCTCGGCTGAACACTCATTCAGTCACCAGCGAGCATTTAGGGAGCACCAACTGTGTGCCAGGCACTGGGATATCGGGACGACCAAATGAGATCCCGTCCCTGCCTTCTGGGGGACTCCAGCTTTTAAGATGCAGGCCACCTTATTACAAAATAATTCAGGTCCCCCGTTTCCCTGAAATGGAATCTGCAGACACCACTGTCTACCTGTACCTGCCAGCTTAAAAACAAAATAGGGGGGCCTGGCTGGCTCAGTCAGTTAAGCATCTACCTTCAGCTCAGGGTCCTGGGATCAAGCCCTGCATTGGGCTCCTTGCTCAGCGGGAGCCTGCGTCTCCTTCTCCCTCTGCCCCTCCCCAAAACTCATGCATACTCTCTCTCTCTCTCTCAAAAATAAATAAAATCTTTAAAAAATTAAATCTTTAAAAACATAAACTGATGGTATAAAGGTGGTACTCCTTTTTTTAAGATTTATTTATTTATTTGACAGACAGAGATCACAAGTAGTCAGAGAGGCAGGCGGGGGTGGGGGGGAGCAGCAGGCTCCCTGCTGAGCAGAGAGCCTGATGCGGGGCTCGATCCCAGGACCCTGAGATCATGACCCAAGCTGAAGGCAGAGGCTTAGCCTACTGAGCCACCCAGGCGCCCCTAAAGGTGGTACTCTGAGTCAGCTGATGGGGGAAAGGGTCTGGGACATCCGTCTGGGTCTGTACAAATGTAAAAAGCTGTCAAGCTTGATGGTCGTAAAACTCAGTGATTTTGCTAACACACAGCAAACTGTACACTTTCCAGGGGTGGATTATGGCATGTGAATTTATATCTCAATAAAAAAAATCTGGTCTTACTCTAAAGAAGAAACATCAATGGCCAACCAGCAGCTGGAAAGTTGCTCAACCTCACTGGCTGCTAGGGAGATGCCTGTCAAAATCCTCACCGCCTCCCCTCCCCCACCACCGGTGGGGGGGCTGTGACTACAGCAACAGGCCGTCATGAGAAACTGAGGCTGGGGGCAATGAGAAATGGGGCAGCTGCTGTGAAAACCCACGTTTTGGCCATTCCTCAAACAAACACAGCCTTACCAAGCGACCCAGCAATTCCGCTCCTAGGTAGCTCCCCCAAAGCGATTAGAACGTACAAAACACGCAAGCTTGCACGTGCCTGTGCACGGCAGCATGATTCACACAGCCAAACAGTGGGGCCAATCACATGTCCCTCAATGGGTGAAGGGACACACACAGCATGTGCACCCCCTACGTGCATGTCCCACAGCCACGAGCAGGAGCAAGACGCCCCCATGTGCAGCCCATGGGGTGGATCCCGAACTCATGACACGTAGA